ATGAACATCTTGTATAGCACAAAAACTTTGTTAAGCTCACCACACATCAGAAGTGACTTGATGACACATACAACAATAGCATATTTTTCCCCCTGGTAGAGGAATTTTGCTCACTGTCTCCATACATTTGTATTAGAGAACGAGCATTGAAAAATGGATCCAATGACAATGGCTACTTGGTGTTCCTTCTCACCTCAGACATGAACGTCTAAAAATAGCATATAATATTCATTCTGACTGCCCAGTGTCTTAAGTGTTTTTTTGGCGGTGCGGGGTCAGTCACAAGGTAAAAGACCAGACTGATGCATTGACTGAACAATTAACCTGACTACATCTACACATATTGTTTTATAAAAGAAATTTAAACTTGTTGAAAAAAATCATACACTATAGCCTGTTTTATTGCAGAGATTCCTTTCTGTGAACAAATTATTGTGCAGGCACATGTGTGGAATCTGTTAATTGATCTCTGCTCAGATTTAATAATCTCGGCTTGGGTCATTTCATGTGAACAATCATAATAAATTATACTAGCCTGAAATTTCACTGGGATTCATTGCCAGAGATATCCTCAGAAAACCACTTGAGAGTTTGAACTCCCTGTAGAGTAGATGACAGGTATGAACACTGAATCATTCATCTCTTACTAAATATATTATTCTTTCCCCCCTCATGCATTCTGATGTACTCCCATCCACTTAGAAATTACAGATATTGATTTTGTTAGAAACCGTGCTTTCAGGCCTCTTCTTTAAAAGCTCTGACTGCTCTGCTGTTTCCAAAGAAAGACAACAAAAGAGTTCCTCCTTGCCCTTACCTTTGTTTTCTTTTTCTTCATTCTTAAGACTCTGGATGCAATCTGGATGGTGGAAAGTGTTTCAGCATAGTTCCCTGCAGCTGCCGAAATGTGAGCTATCATGGTGGTACGGCAGTTCATGTTCCCGAGGGACTCCCGAAGCAACATGGTCAGCTTGCTGTCTCTGCAAAATAAAAAGAATTAAGCTTACATTAGTGAGCCATGTTTCACGTCGACTATTGAGATGCAACTCCGGGTCTCAGCAACATGTGTTCCTTTTTAATGGAATACTAATTAGCATTGTTCTTCGGGATTCTAGTGCACTCCATCTGCAGCCGAACAAGCTGGAAAATCCTTATGCTGAAATGAGAGCCTAGCCTTTAAGAATTTTCTGCCTGTCTTGGTTTTCTGGGCTAATTTCAGCAGTCATGTTGCTTTTAACATGGGACAGCAACTCGCAACCATAGTGGACCAGAGTTTTCAAAGACAGTTTATAGCTAATGTCCAGAATGATCAGGCCTTTAAAAACACTATTTGCGACACTCTGTTCATTCTTTGCAATGACTGGAGATGGGATGAGTTTGTGCTGTCTTCCTTTCCTGTCAGTCACCATGTCACTGAATAGATTCAGTTTTAAAATTCTAATACCCTGTCATCACCACCTCCCTTCCTCTGGAACTCCCAATGATTGTAATGAGACCTGGAAATGGTATTGCATGACAATTGCTTTGGAAATGAAGAAACTGTGTAAACATAACCCATTAATACAACCAGCTTATTACTGTGAATAGTGGTGCAATGTCAAAATTTCAACAAAAGAGAAAGGAAGGAAGGAAGGAAGGAAGGAAGGAAGGAAGGAAGGAAGGAAGGAAGGAAGGAAGGAAGGAAGGAA